AAGTGCCATGGGCTGCCAAAAGAACTAATAAATACGTTTTGGAAGAAGTGCAGCCAGAGTGTTCCTTGGAAGCCAAGATGGCCAAACTTCATCTTTCATACTTTGAACATATTGTCAGGAGGGACCAGTCACTGGAGAAGGATATCATGTTTGGTAAGGTGGAGAGTAAGAGCAAAAGAGGAAGACCCCCAACAAGATGAATTGGCCAAGTGGCAGCATCGATGGACTCAAGCGTGGTAACAGTAGTGAGGTTGGCCCAGGATCAGGTAATGTTTTGTTCTGTTGTGCATAAGGTCGCTATGAGTAGGTACTGACTCGATGGCACCTAACAACAACAACAAAGGTGGTTAAGGAGTCCTGGTGTGGTGCAGTAGGATAAGCATTGGACCTCAAGGTTGGCAATTCAAACTCACCAGCTGCTCCTCGGAAACCCTATACAGGGGTGCTACGAGTAGAAATTGACTTGATGGCACTCAACAACAACAACAACAACAAGGTGGCGAAAGGATCCCTTGTAGGGCAGTGGGTTAAGTGTTGGGCTGCTAACTGCAAGGTTGGTGGTGTGAGTCCACCATATGCTATATGAGACAGTGTGCTCCCATAAGGTTAAGTCTCGGAAACCCTAATAAGCATTTGTATCTATTCGCTTCTATAGAGACATTATGAGCTGGGATCAACTTGATGGCAATTGGTATGGTAAAGTGGCTAAAGTCCAAAACCAATGAACATACAAAAGAATTGACTGCACATAAATTTTAAAAATAAAAACACCTAAACCATAAGAACTAAAGGCAAACAACAAAAGGGTACCATAGATGACAGTTAAGTGATTCATAGTTTTCTTACAAATTATCAAAAGATGAAAGAAGAGGACCTCAACAATTAACTTACAAGATACAAATGTCAATTAAAATACACACAAAAAATGAAGAAACACTCTACTATTCTAAGATAAATTAAGAAATTGAGATGCTATTTTCATCTATCTAATTTGTTGTTATTGTTACATTGAGGTGAAACTTACACTGAAGGCTCTGGTCTTTATCAGTAAGTATTTTAGGTCCTCTTCATTTTCAGAAAGAAAGGTTGTATCATCTGCATATTGCAGGTTGTTAATGAGTCTTCCTCCAACCTTAATGCCATGTTGTTCTTCAGATAATCCAGCTTCTCAGATTTGCTCAGCATACAGGTTGAATAAGTATGGTGAAAGAATACAACCCTGGTGCACACCTTTCCTAACTGTAAACCATTCAGTGTTGCCTCTAGGTCTATGTACATGAGTACAATGAAATGTTCTGGAGTACTCATTTTCTGCAAAGTTTTCCATAGCTTGTCATGATCCACACAATCAAAAGCCTCTGCATAATCAATAAAGCACAGGTTTGCTTTCAGCCAAGACCCATCTGATGTCAGTAATTATAGCCTTCATTCCACGTCCTTGTCTGAATCTGGCTTGAACATTGGGCAGTTACCTATGTTGCAGCCTATCTAATTCGTTGCTGTTGTTAAGTGCTGTCAAGTCAGTTCTGACTCATAGCAACCCTGTATAGGGTTTCCAAGAAGTGGCTGGTAAGGTGCAACCACTGACCTTGTAGTTCAAGTCAACGTTGCAGTCCAGTACATGAACCCACAGCACCACACCAGGACTCCTATCAAATTTGGTGGTGGTGGTTATGTGCCGTGGAGTTGATTCCGACTCATAGCGACCTTGTACAGGGTTTCTGAGGCTGTAAATCTTTACAGGAGCAGAAAACCTCATCTTTCTCCCATGGAACAGTTTGTAGTTTCCAACTGCTGACTTTGAGGTAAACAGCCTGATTCATAATCACTACACTACCAGAAAGCTCGTATCTAATTTGTTGTTGTTGTTGTTAGGTGCCATTGAGTCGGTACTGACCCATAGCGACCTATGCACAGCAGAACAAAAACACTGCCCGATCCTGGGCCAACCTCACTACTGTTGCCACGCTTGAGTCCAT